TGGGTCTAATAATGATTATAATTTATTCTCTCTCTACTGCCTGGGATTTTATTCACTATAGAGTAGTCATTTTATGAAGTGCTCCTCTTGAAGGGTAGACTTGGTGAGGCTCTGACTGGCAAATAACTGATATACAGAAGTCTATCCATTTCAGTACAGGAGCACTAACATTTGATAAGAAGGATCGGCAGGATTGGGTCCAACGGTTTTGAATATAATAAATTTTCTGTTTTTTCCATATGAATTTAAGCAGTCATTGATATGATATACAAGAGCTTTGAGACTTCTGAGTTTTCACTGGAACTGTGGATACTTTTATTTTCAGCAGCAACAAAAAGCCTGGTTGGCTCAGATAATATTCTTTGAATAGCATTCATGGAACAGCCACTTGGCACTATGTATATTTGCTTGAAAAGACAATTGATGATATTTTAGGGTTATAACAAAAAACTCTTCTTAAATACATATTTTTAAAAAATTTGACTGTATTTATCATGCTCAGAATCTCAACCTAAAAGCTTTTGTTATTGTTATAGTCAAGCTCTTACACAGCTAATGATTAGTAGAAATATTTCTGGAACTCTGCTTTACTTTATTACCAGTCATATTTGATTTTAAACATAAATGTTCTCACCTTGGTTTCATCCTTGCTGCTTTTCTCCTCCACTCTGCTGCAGTCTTTGGTGACCATATTGACTCCCACCCATTCCACGAGTCTTTTTTATCTATGTGCCATTTTCTGCACCCAGATGTTTATGTACTAAAACAGACTGTGGTTTTTGCCTTTTCCTTGGGTAACACTATGACATCTGTATTTAGTCTTTTGCTGCTGCTGTTGTTTTCAAGTGTGTGCTGCCATCTATGGAGTAATCATTGAAATAAAGCTGATAGAAAAAGATGGTTTAGTAAAAGATTATGGAAAACAAGATCTAGCTAGTAGAGGAGGTATTGTAGAGCAGTTGGCCAGATCTGAAGAAATCCTATTTCTTTGTAGTCCCAGATCTCACAGCGAGCACAGGTGAAAGTATACCTTTTAGAAAATCAGTAGCTTCTAGGAGTTAAGTAATTCAGTAGATTTATTTCTAATAGACAAACTGTCAGGGCAGCCTGAAAATTAGAATGAGGTTGCTTTGTCCTCTAATCATATAACTCATTCCTTTTCCCTCCCCATCTACCTTTCATACATCCTAGTGCTTCAGCAGTTTCCAAGATCTGTTTATTATATCTTTCTTCATTTGTTTTTTTAAAGCTTGATTTTAATTCCTTATTCTTTCCCAGCATCTTGTTAACTGGCTTCGTGCCTCTCCTCTGTGTCCAGGTTTCACTCCTCCAAGATCCCATCAGAATGCAGCGCTGAAGATCAGTCCCCATTCTCTCTCTCTCTTTCATAACATTTTGACGCTTGATATCTATTTTAGAGTATACATTTACTGCAATACATTTATTCAAGTTGGTCTAGGAAGCACTTGGAGAAGTAAATTACTCTATACTTTTATGAATTGCCTGTGCAGGCATATCAGCTTTTGTCTTGTTCATAATGCTTTTTAGCTTGCAAATTTTTGACTAAGGATTTTAGCATCTTACAGCCTTGAATATGGTTAGGTAGATGAGTTCCTGGCAATCAGAGTGCTGTACCTTTGAGTTAGGAGATGTGACAGAGAACAACTATGTCTTCAGGTCTTTCCTCAGCAAAAACATTGTTGGAATGGGTTTATATTTACCCACTACTGCTTAAATGCTTTCTTATAACACAAGACATTAGAATCAAAAGGGAAAGTTTAACCTATATGGATGAAGTGTTCTTAAAAATATCTTCTGACATTTTCTTCTTATTGCTGAACTTAGAAATTGATCTTATTTCCCAGCATCAGAGACAAAATGAAGAAAAAAAATCAATGCTGAAGATTGATCAATGTTTTTCAAAACTGACTTAATAAGATAAAAATCAATGCAGCTGTATTATTTGCCATTATTTTATCACCAGTATCATTCAAACGTGGTAATATTTGATTCTTAAGTGTGAAAATATTTCACTTACCTCTTAGAGAGACAAACAACTTAAGAAGGAGGGATTTATTTAGTCAGACTTTGGTTTTCTTTTTAATCCTGATTTTGGAACTTTGAGTTCTACAGAAACTGAAAGCAGTTAGTATGTTAAGTGCCAGGATATAATTGTTCCTTTAATCACAGAGACTTAAATAGAACAAATTATTACTTGTATTTGAAAATTATGAGCTCTGATCCTCCCTTCCTTCTGCAAATAGCAGTTCCGTCTTGCTTGGTTGAAAGATCTGTACTCAAAATTTTGAGATAAACTTGGATACCTAATTCCCCCCATGACAGACTCACAGTGCTTTGAATTTAGACACTTACTGTACAAATGCATTGGCTGATTAATATTTTTTGGCAAAAATTAGTGTGTTATTTGGGGGGGGGTTGTTTGTTTTTTCCTAACAATCATTTCCCTTTTCTGCCCCCAATAATATTAAGATGCCTTACTGATTTATTTAAAGTATTAAAAACTGTCTTGTGTAATATCATAGAATGAATCCCTAAGCCATGAGTTGGGCTTAACAGTTGAGAGGTTTCCTAAAAAATAATTTGCATTTTAATATTTCTATTCCTGTTTACATGGTGCCTTGGGTTTAGCCCTTCAAGCTCCTAGTTTGAAATTTCTCTTAACAGCTGAGGGCTAGAAAATGTTCTTTTAAGGAAGAAAGTTGAGATTCTCACATAATCACTGGGACATGTGAACTAGGATTTCAGGGAAGTATCAGACATTGAAAGCGTCTTGATAAAATCCTGGATATTGGCAAGTCTCTGGTAATGGCATCTTTTGTTTCTTTGATTTATTTCATGAGCACAGAAAGACAGCTTTCTGCATAGATTTCTATTGAATTGGAACCCTATCTGTAAGCTGGGACAGAATGTCATAAAATGAGAATGGAAACCTAATAGTAAGTAGACATGGGTTTTGAGAATACAAGACTTTATCATGTTCTCTGTCAGGCCAGCTACTTTTACCTCACTTTTTCATATTCTTTTTCTATTAGATAAACGTAGTGAGTTTGCTCCTCTCCTCAAGTAGCTCTGAGCAGCAATATGTACATTTATTGGGAATAGACAGTCTCACCCCTTCGTTCTCTCCTTCATCATCAGCTTAATTGTAGACAATATCTGCCTTTGCATAACGAGAGAGCCTGTGCTTGTACCTCCCTTCTCCCTTTCCTCCTCCTCCTGTACTGTGAGAGAGAAGTAGAATGGCATATTGCATAGCTAAAAGGTTATGAAGCCTGAATTTGTTACACCTCTGAATTTGGCAGGCAAGCGTTCACAACCACTGTAGAAATACACGGCTCATCACCACATGAAGCTGGACACCCTGAGAAGATAGATGATATTGGATTGGTTTTCTTGTTGCTCTGCAAACAATCAAACAGGCTTAAACTATGCAATCTGATATTCTCTAATTGACAGCTTTTCCAAGGTTCATTTGTTAACTGAGAGCATGACATGTATTGAAGTTGTTTCTTCATAACGCATTTGGCATTAACAGGAGAAGCTGTCGAATGCCTCAGACATCAACATCTCAGCAATAAGATACTCTGCCTCCAGTTTTGGCTTTCTAACTAGAGACTTTGTATTTGCAAGGGCATTTGGAATAAGCATACGAGAGGCCAGGACATAAGAAAAAAGCATTAATACGTTCCCCAAAAGAAAATTTATGAGAATATTTTTGCTGCTCAGGACATTTACATGAGTTTTATGATTCAACTGTTCTTTTTTCTTTTGTTATAAAACCTTGGATTCTTGTTTAATGAAGTACTCGCTGAATACTCATTGGTTTCAGGGAGTTATTTTATTTTGGTAGATTAGTAAGTAGGCATAACTGATTTGATTTTTATAGTGATGAAGAATTTGTGTGTAAAAGACATGCTCAAGGGTTTAGCTTGCCTGTGCATCCACAAGAGAATAAAATCGATCCCCAAAGAAACCTCTATTTCAAAGAATCCTAACCTTCCCCCAGATAAAGCCCATGATTGTTTGAAAAAATAAATTACCTTTGTGGAAGAGACCAGAGGATGATTTCTCCACTGATCTTGTTCCTGGTTTGCATTTCCTGTTTTCTTTTAGCTAGTTTTCAGAAACACTTCCTTAGTTTCTTAGAACACAAATTGTACCAGAACTCTTAACATTCAGCTTTTTAAAATTTTTTCATTCTGTAAAGGATTTCCATGATCTGCTCTTCCTTGCAAGTGTTGATATGCTGATACCTGGCAAGGTATTCATACAGGGTCTATAAGCACTATTTAAGAGCTTGGTCACAAAACCATCATTGTTAATAGCTGCTGCTTCTCTTGCATCCCATGAACTTGATAGTTACAAAATTAATTTATCTTAGATGTACAAAAAATGTTTTAATTTCACTTTGTTGTTCTTAGTAAGCATGTTACTCTAAATATTTAAGTTAATTTCTCTAGGACTTAGCTAAGTTTCTGCACATATTCTTCCTTCTGTGAAGAGTACATGCCTGGAGAAGTACATGAAATTTTACAGATGTTGTCAAAATAATGAAGGAGTTTCAGTGGTGCTTTGACTAGCATTGTTTAGGGAATGAAACACAGATGTTTAGATGAGGAAAAAAAAAAAAAGAATGAATGGTTCAGGATGCCTTCATTTCACAGGAAGAAACAGCCTAGCTTTGACAGAACTGCCTCTTCAAAAAACACCAGGAAAAATGAGGAAAGCCAGTTTCTGCTGAGAAAAGCCCAGAAACAAACTTTTTGAAAGCTCTGTGGTCTGGAACCTAAGCACACATCTCTCTTCCCTCTGTACACATCAATGGCCTGAATTCCTGCAGCCAAATATTCCTGAGCCTTTGGGGAACATTCTGGACCTGTCTCCATCTAAGAACTTTCTATTTCAGTTGCGAGGTCTGTTGGCAAATGCCGTTGGGGTCCCTGGCGAGCACTGACTCCAGAGGCCCTTCTGTCTTGCAGGGCAAGCACAAGCTGCGTGTGGACACGGGACTGGAAGGCGCCTGGTGTGGCCTCATCCCCATCGGGAACTCCTGCGAGAGCGTGACCACCACGGGCCTCAGGTGGAACCTCAGTAAGTCAGGCGCCTCTGGGATGGTGGGTTTGACGTTATCCTAACTGCACATTTGCACCAGCCTCACCAGTGTTGAAAGGCCTTACGTGTTCGAAGGTGGAACACGGCATTGAATCCCTGCCAGCCATTTTTTTCTAGAAATGAGGTGTTGGGTTTTTTGGTTTGGGTTTTTTTTTGTTGTTTTTTTTTTAAAAAAAAGAAGATAAATATATTTAAACCTTAGATATCGCAGGCAGAAACGTGTTTTGCATTTGGGAGTCATTGTGCTGTTTAAATAGAACATTTGTTGAGGTCATGATACATTACCATCTTGATACATTGGCCTCCAGGGAGGGGAAGCTGCGAGTGCCTAAACTCCTAGTTATAAGCCATAAAGTTAGAACAGACAAATAGTAATGTGATATAGATTATTAAAGCTACCTCACTTCTCCTGAACTGCTTTGCATTTATTGTCTGTTTGTCAACTCTGAATGAATAGATCTTTCTCTTATTTTAAAGTGGGAAAAGGTGCATTTGATCTAGAACAGGGACATTTGTCTGTAGAGAAAGGTTTCTTGACCCCCCAAAATTGAAACAATCTTCATCCTCCTGCCCCCTCCTCTCACACTGAGTCCTGCAGGATGTATTCACTCAGGAAAATGGCAGGATATTTTAGTTAATGATTCATTAAAACTTAAGGGAAGCAAAGCAGTAATTGAGAGGCTCTGGTCTTGCAGTCTGATTTACACTGCCAGACTTTAGCACCATCCCACACAGAAAGGGCACATGGTTCTCACAGTTTGCAGTGTAGTGCTTTCGCTGGCTAATAATTAATCTGAGGTTGTCCCGCTGTGCCAGCTAGCAGCACATGTGCTCCTCTAGGGAGGGTCTTGTTCCACTGAGAGTTTGAACATGTGCAGTTAAGGAGGTGGTAGGCACTGATGATAGAAGATATAAATGTGACATTAATTTCAGGATGTGAGAGACTTTCCAGGTAAAGTGCTGTCTGGCTAGTGATGTCTTTGTCCTTTTAAACTGGATTGTAAGAGGTGAATGTATTGTATAAGGGATGTTCTCAATTTGAAAAAAGAGTCAAATATTTTCATTTCTACTGATAAGTACAGTTGACAAGGTAGTGAATCTTATCTGCTCATCTCCGGTTGTGCAGTGAATTTTGTGGCTCATTGCACTGAGGGACTACCCATTTCTCAGTAAATGTTCTGCCCTCCAGAGTGAAGTGAAAGAAGCTTAAAACCAGCCTCATGTTAACGAAGGGAGCATCTCTGATGCCTGGGTCACTTGGCAAAAGGCTACTGTGTGGATGAAAATGTGGTAGATGTTGTGAGGTTGCAGTCCTTTCTTGTGGTTTTGATGCTTAGTTAAAAAAGTTATTTTTCAGATACATCAGAATTTTTTTTACTTTAATAACATAAATTTCATCAGATTTACAAAGTCCTCTTTAGAAAGATGCTAATTTTAAAGTTGGTCTGTCTGCTCCCATAAATGACATGGCTTTGTTACTACTGAATTATGATTGCCTGATCTGCAGAAGGTAAGGAGAAAGGGGTTGCAAGTCTAACTGTGCCAGCTGGAGGGTGATGCGGTGGGAGGTGCAATGGTAACAAATAGTAAATTTGTATCTAGGATTGGGTTGAGATACCAGTTTCTTCAATGTTTATTGTTATTATTCTAGTTGTGCTCTAATAAACTTCTTCAGGTTACTTAGAGGCATAGCTAGATATGAAACTATGGGGATTTTTATTACACTTAATTCAGTCTTTTTTTTTTTTTTCTTTTTCTGGGGGACAAAAAGGTGACTGTTTCCTACTTGTTTCACGTTAACATGACACCACCGTATCTGCTTCTCCCAGTCTTTGTTGATGTCTGTTTCCAAGGGGAAACCTCAGTCCTTTTAGTGTTTCCCTTAGAGATGTGTACACTGCACCCCATTACAGGCTACACTTTCAGTCCCACTATTCATGTTTCTCACAGGCCGTAGTTCCTTCATTTATTTTTCTGCATTACCATCACAGATATATAAAAAACCCAAAAATGATCTGGTCTTCCTTGAAGATGTTTAATCTATCTGAGACACCTAAGTCATTACAACCTGAAATTGCTCTTGTGCCCAGATGACTAGAGCTAACCTTTACTCATTCAGATACAGATTTTGAAACAGGTTATTGTTCAGATGCTGATAAAACAAATTACATTGTATTAGTTGCATCCCCCAAAAGGGAAACCAGTATCTCAAATACAGCATGTGGTTAGTTGTGACTTGGTTGGATTTTTTTCCCTAATAAAAAGCCCTTATATTCAGGTAACCTAGTTTGATATTAGCTTTTGTTTTAATAACTTTTGTGCTGCGTATAGTTTTGCAGTTACTTTTAAAAATGTTAGCCCTCCTGTAAATTGTGATGGAGAAGCAAAGGCTCACCTGGGAAGAAAAAGGAATAAAAAGATACTGAAGTGTGACATGGATGTCAGGATTGCTGCTGATGGCTGTCAGTGTCAGAGCTTTCCCTGTTTATTCGTTAATGGCACTCTGAGCTCACACCTTCATAAACATCAGTGAATAAAGTGGTTTAGTTATAAATTCATTTTCATGTGTAAATCATGAAAGAAATGGAATTTTAAAGCTAAACATGACATGAAAGGCCTTTTTCTCCAGTTTGTTATGGTATTAATTGAATATGACCTAGCAACTTTGATTTTCAAAAGTAATTTTTGAGTCCTCAAAATATTTGTTTTAAGTATCTGAGTGGTAAACTAATTCCAGAATTTCAGTTCTGTCTGAACAGTCAAAAATGATGTGTTAGGTGAGAGGCGAGCCCTCATTTTTACAAACAATAATTTCCAGCAACTCAGAATTCAACTAACACTGCAGTACAAGAAGGAGCTGGCTTTGCATCAAGATTTTTAATGTCTAACACCAATTTCTGTCTGAGCATATCTAGATTACTCTGCTGATTAAAATTTGTAAAGCCTTCAAGGGGTAGTCAGATGTTATCTGTGTCTAATCTACAGGTGCTGTCATGAGAGTTCATAGTTTCTGAATAGAAAAAGACAAGGATAAATACCTAAGACAGAAGCTGTATTGGAGTTGAGAGTAGGCTACAAAAGGTCTCATTTCAGTGGCTGAATTGGATAAACCTGAAATCTGTAAATTATTCTGCCAGCAGAGAAACAATGATGTCTTGATTATATTATTAATATTGCAGAATTCAGTATTTTTTGTGTGTTTGTGTGAGGATGGAATGTGTATGCATACTTTTATGCATGCTTATCTCAGTTATTTGCTTGCACTTGGCACAAACAGAACTTTATTTTAGTTCTCATTCTATGGGTGAAAGAACTTGAGGAAGAAAGTGGAAAATTGATTAGAGAAAATATTTTTTATCCATACTTGCTATTGTGTAGCACACATTCAGAACACATTATAAACATATTCTTTCCACTCCCAAAGGGATACACATCTTTGCTCTATTAAAATCTGATTTACAGCTCAGGAATCAGATAATGCTTTATCTGATTTGACTTACCTGGCTGCTTGCTGATAACAACTCTCATGTCTAATAAATAAATAACAAAAAATCCAATAATGCCAGAATTACCCAGCATTCTTCATTAGGTCCTCAGTGGTGCTTTCATGAAAGGTGAATAAGAATGAAGGTAGAAATCAGCTGCACCACTCATTGAAGAACATGTGGGAGGGTAAGGTCGGCTTTTCTAGGAAATGGTTACTTTTCTAGGAAATTACTGTAGAAAATAATCTTGCCAACTAGTTTACTTTTCATCCCTAATGGCCTTTGATATGCTCTATGTCATACCTGTATTGAAAATGCCAGCATATATATATATATATATATATATGTAAACTGAGTGTGTATGTGATTGTGCTTTCCAGATAATTTTCATGCAAATTTGCATCTTAAGGCAGAAAGTTACATTGCTGTAAAATGCTACCACCCAAAAGAGCACCACTGTCATTTCACTTCAAAAGGCAATAGCAATAACAATGGGAGCAGGACCTTTATCTAACTGTAGCAACAGAGCATCCACTGACTACTAACTTCACAGGTAGATAAAGAGGATCCAAAATCTTTTGATGATGTTTACATTGCTGGTAAATTGAAATTTTTGCACTGCTTTTTTCACTGTTTTACTTCATTGGGGTTTTGTTGACATTGACTTGTGAATGGAACAAAAAGATCACAAAAGCAAGGGGGGGGTTATGTTTTATGAGAATTCAGAGTCTAAAAGACAAAAGAAAATTAGTAACTCCTTAAAAAACATCAGAGGGTAAGGGACTCTTCTGGAAAAGGCTGTAAATTAAGATGGTGAGGTATCTGTGTGCTAGTGAAGCTGTTTGTATAAGCACTCTGTAACCTGTTTCATAGCTGAAGAAGTTTATATGGCACATTTTGCTGCCCCATTTCATTCTGACTGAGGCAAACTAAACAGCGCTCCCAGGACTAGCTCTGTTTTCAGTAGCAAAATAAAAAGCTTCACAGCTGGATTCCCCTTTCTTCTGCTTTTCTCTCCTTCCCTCCCTTCCCATGTTCTTCAGTGGTAGAAGACTTCCAGTCCATCAACTGGGTTCTATCTCGAGAGCTTCAGTGATGTATTTTTTCCCTTACTCATTACAACTCTAAAACCCTGGGTAGGGTGGATGCTGCTTCTCCCAAAGCTTCAGGTGGTTTTGACCTTTTGTGAGCTATTTGCCTGCAGGAGTGCTGCTGTCTGCCTTCCAGGGTCACATCATTTATTACAAGGCAAGGCCTGCTGAAATACTTTTCCAATAAAGCAGATGTTCTGATGGTGGCAGCCTGGCATCCCACTGGTTTACTGCAAGTCAGCTAAAGCAACAATGAGGGCATTGCTTAGCATTGCATGAAATTATTTCGAACCAAAAAGACCATTTGGCGTACATTAAAGGACTGATGAACACAGAGCTCAGTTGTGCTGGGCCCCTAAAGCTGTATTTGCTTTTTTTCCTAAACAGCAGCTTGAAAACTCAG